AGCCGACAAATCTGCAGCAACTGCGTGATGCTATCATGTCAATAATGGACCAAAATCTCTGAGGAATGTTTCCAACACCTTGTTGAATCTATGCCACGAAGAATTAAGGCAGTTCTGAAGGCAAAAGGGGGTCCAACCCGGTACTAGCAAGGTGTACCTAATAAAGTGGCCAGTGAGTGAATATGTGTACTGTATAATAAGAATAATGAATTTTAAGTTAACATATTTAGATGTTAACAACTAAATAATACAAAAAATAACACATGAAAGTAGAATGTAAGTAGTAACAGAATTTAAGCAAGTAATTTAGCCAGATGCAGAACATGCTTCCCTAATTAGATGTCTTAATCAGATTAGTTGTCCAGTCGGGTAAGTAAAATTCTCTTTCACTTGCCCCTTCAGAAATAAAATGTAACCCTCCAAAGTGTCTAGTGGGAGTGACTGTGTTACCCGCCACTGCTCAAATTAATGTCAAGCCCTGACTGTGTATTAGAAAACATCAAAATGTCAGTTCTAAAAGAAAAGGACTAGCCTGCATGTTTGCACACAGATCATCCCGATAGCACACGAAATTAGATGTCTTAATCAGATTAGTTGTCCGGTCGGGTAAGTAAAATTCTCTTTCACTTGCCCCTTCAGAAATAAAATGTAACCCTCCAAAGTGTCTAGTGGGAGTGACTGTGTTACCCGCCACTGCTCAAATTAATGTCAAGCCCTGACTGTGTATTAGAAAACATCAAAATGTCAGTTCTAAAAGAAAAGGACGGGCCTGCATGTTTGCACACAGATCATCCCCTGATAGCACACATACATCTCAGAGACGTCTATTTGACGTGTTTTTTAGTGTTTGCTCATCTGCAATACGTCTATAGGACGTTTCCTATCAGATGTCAAATAGACGTTTAGAAGAGGTCTTTAAGATGTTTATGATTTAGAGTGCATGTAAAACTGACATCTTAAAGACGTCTGTCAGATGTTTGTACACAGCAGATGCTTTCCAGATGAAGCGATCTTTAACAGACATACGTGTGCTATCTGGGTCAGAATCATTCTCTCGCTCACCTCTAGCTGCATTATAAGAAAATGTTCTGAGGTCTGAAGATGCCGTTTTGTTGTTGGTAGTGTCTCAATCCTGCTCTCTCTACATACTCACTGTTTGAAAGTAAGTACTTGAATGTGCAAAGCAGAACTTGATGAACTGTGATGCAGCCAGTGTTTTCTCTCTCTCTCTGTACAGTGATCTGGATGTTCAGTAGACTTCTCTCTCTCTGCTGTGGGACTGAAGCGGTTTTGCTGGTACCTGTTCTTCAGGATGGATCCTGCTCTTCTGAGCACGAGTGAGATGAACTGAAAAACCTTCCAGACAAAAAAAAAGCTGTTCCTTTTCTACCTGGGTGCCACTTCCCGATCAATTCCCCTTAAAAGCAACGTTAGCTCTCAGAAAATCCAGTGTGTGTGTGTTTGTGAATCCAGACGTCAGGACGGTTAGTGACGTGCTTCGACTCCCTCAAACACATCTCGTCCTTTTGCATTGCAAGCTGTCGACGACCCATAATGCACTAGACTAGATTTAATGTCTTCGATCATTCCATGAACTCAACCGAACGACGTCGGCAGTCCTGAATCCATGTGTGATACATGATAGATTTTTATTGTGTGTACATCTGAGATGTTCAGAGTTAAAATATGTGATCAAAGGAATAGGTTTGAGACTGAAAGCATTACTGCAGATGATTGAAAACATATCATGTGATGCTGGAAGCTGCAACATATCAGCATCACCTATGAATCCAGCCTCAATCATGTGAGTCCTGTCTTTTTCCATCAGTCACGTAGTCATTTCTCCTTTTTGTATATTTCTTTCTCTGTATTTTTTCATAAGTCAAATGAGTTTTGTTGGTCTATTATACTGTTTTAGATCGTCTTCATTAAAACATGCTGAATTCGCTCTATTCAGGTCAACACACTGCAGAACATCATTCAATCAATATGTTTGTATTGTTTTTAAATACAATTCCTAAGCATCATTAAAATGAGATGCATTTACTTAAGAACTTAATATTAAGATTTTTTGAGAACATATATCTTGATTTTTTTTTTCTTCATTGGCAAATTGTTTTCTTCTTTTTCTTCTTCTTCTTATTATTATTTAAAATAATTGTATTAAATATATTATTGAAAAAATCCATATTGCGCTCGAGGAAAAGTTTCCAATATATTTTTTCTTCTAAAATAAGGTTTTATTTATTGTCATCTTTCATCTACATAATTGTATGGATGTCTATTACAATTTTATAATTTAGAATAATTTTTTACTTTATTGGTCAATTGTTTTTTATTTCTTATATTAAGCAATTATTATTATTATTTTTATTGCTAAAAATCTTTTTATAAAAAATATGAATAATTTCATTTTATAATGTATAATTATAATTTATAATGTAGTTTTTTACTTTATTGGCAAATAGTTTTTGACATCTTATTTTAAGCAATTATTATTATTAATTATTTTAAATATTATTATTAAATATTATTATTTGTTTATTTTAAAAATAAAATGTATACATTTTTTATAAATGAATATTGTTTTATAATTTATAATTTATCATAGGTTTTTGTAACTTAAGCCCCCACTACACAACTTTTGCTCCGATTTACAGTCTGGTGAGTCAGTCTGCAGATTCGAGTTGACAGATTTCATAGTTTGCTTTGTTGATGTCTTGTGTTTTAAAAATCTGTTCAGATTTGAAAAGTCGTGTAGTGTATTCCAGCCTTTATTCTAAGTTATTATTATTATCATTGCCAATGAAGTATGAAAAATACTTGATTCAAGATATCAGAATATTTTGCATCTCAAATAAATGCATCTTATTTTAATCATGTTTAGGCAATATTACTGAAAACCATGTATTTCTATGGTGCACTGAGCGCTGTCTAGAGTCACTATTTCTGTAATGACATAATCGGACAGATTTTGTGAGCGAGAGGAAGCGATAGAGAGTGACTGTACAGTATGTTTTAGTCATTCAGCATGAAATCATTGATGTTGTCTGTGTTTGTGATTAAAACACTAAACGCACTGAACTGTCGAAACGGCCCACGCTTGATTTCAGCTTTTACGACCTTGTCATTCTGCTTTTTTAAGCTTTATTCCATTTCGAGGAATATCGCTTTTCTTTTCAAATAATGTTTTATTTATTGTCATCTATTATCTATGTCATTTTATGGATGTCTATGAAAACTTTATAGTTATAGTTATTATTATTTTTTTTTTATGTTTTTTGTTTGTTTGTTTACTAAGGCTAATTTCAGATGTGCTGAATATCATAATATATACGACATTTATATATGCATAATATGTATATAATCAATCTCTTGAGGGAATGTTTTGGTTCAGTATAAGTTCAATACAGCATCTATGACATGAAAATAATTCTGACTCATCCTTAATTTTGTAAAAAAAAAAATCACATTTACAATAATGCAAAATGGAATTAAAAATTGGACATAATTTTAAGATTTTATTTCTATGTATTCAATTCTAGAGGCAATGCTTTCAAAATTGTTAATGTCCGTTTTAAGTGCATTAATGTAAATGTGTGTTTGTGTTTCCTCTGTGAGTTGGAAATGATACTTTTTATCGAACTGCGTCGTTTCTTTAATGTTCAGTTTGGGTTTTACAGAATAAAATGGACTATTTTATTTAAAGGATAAAATGTCAGCAATGAAATCCTCAATATTATCAATCCTATTTCTCACGTTTCGTGAGGCGAGTCTTTGTAGTATAATGTACGATATGTTTTAAAGCGTAATAATGTACTATATGTGTGAAGTATAGTACTATATGCCATGTACTATATGGCCTGCATGTCGTTCGATACGCTTGGTTTGTAGCTCTTCAGACGTCTGGTGTGAAGCTCTAGTGTTTGAGTGGATTGTATAATGTGTGTGTATGAGAGTGTTTGACTGTACTCTATATAGTTTGGGTTATTCGTTTGAGGAAAGTCTGTGCTGTACTTTAGGCTTTGTCATTTCTGCAGCTCTTTTCTGGTGAGACTCGGTGCATGTGAACCAAACCAAGTATAAGCGTCTGTAAGTGTCCGTCTCTCACACTAATGTGTGTTTGTACAGATCATTAGCTGCTAATGATGATGTAAACATCAATACAAACCATACCAATAAAGCCTATATGGAAAATACACTTTTCCTTTCACTCTGGGATTTTGCTTTTAAATATGATTTACTGTATATTATGCTTTGGTTGTGAGTGGATCGGTTTCCTCTCAGGTCTAAATCCATGTTTAGTGTATTCTGGGTAAAAACAAATGACATGCAAAGAGTGTCGGCCACATTTATGGCTGAATAATTTACATAGAATTCTACACATCATTACAGATGACATGTTTAAAAAACAGCATTCGATTTGACATGCTTCTAGCAAAATCGAACACAGTACAGTTTTTTAAATGTACAACTAATAGGATAATTTGCTTTACAATAATTAGATTTTGAAGGGAAATTGTCATGTGCATAAAAACAGTAAAATAAAAAAACAGGATTCAATTTCTTTATGCAAAATAATGTTTATTTCTTTTGATTTTGGAGTGAAATATGACTTCAATATAATTTATTTTTCTTTCAGTTTCCGTTTATTATTATTATTATTATTTAAATGTTTTGAAACCTGCCATGATGAATTATATGTAATATCTGCTTCTCATATTGGTCTAATCAGACTGATACTAATCATTTAACCCTGGAGCTAACATTGTTTGTTTTTAATGCTTTTCTTGTCATCGTTTTATTTTTCATGCATGCTTGTGTTTTGATTGCGAAGTGTTTCTTTTCATCTTTTCGACCTGAAGAAACTAGCCGCTGATGAAACATCACAGGAAAATCACTAAAAACTCCAGCAAAATGTAACATTTTCTGTGAATAATCCATTAAATTTAAATGTTTTTGAAAGTCCCTTCTGCTCACCAAAGCTGCATTTATTTGATTCAGTAAAAACAGTAATATTGTGAAATATTATTCTAATTTAAAATAGCTGTTTTCTATGTGAATCTCTGTTAAAATGTAATTTATTTCTGTGATGCGCAGCTGAATTTTCAGCATCATTACTCCAGTCTTCAGTGTCACATGATCTTCAGAAATCATTCTAATATGCTGATTTGCTGCTCAAGAAACATTTCTGATTATTATCAATGTTGTGCTGCTTCATATTTTTGTGGAAACCGTGATACATTTTATTTTTCAGGATTCACAGATGAATAGAAAGTTCAAAAGAACAGCGTTTATTTGAAATAGAAATCTTTCGTGACATTATAAATGTCTTTACTGTCACTTTTGTTCAATTTAATACATGCTTGCCGAATAAAAGTATTAAATTATCAAAAAAAATTAAAAAAAATAAATAAAAGAGCACTACTGTCTGGCGCTTTTATCAGTAATGATAGCTGATGCCAAACCTTCAGGTTGACTTTTGCAGGCTGAATATTTTGTAAAAGCATGTGTGTTGGGCCTGTAGTGTGTTGATCAATGAGACTCAGACTGGACAGAAGCAGCTCTTATCTGCGCTCACACACGTCCTGCAGCAGAGACGGCAAACACACGTCAAATAACCAAACAAGTGCACTGAAAAAAGTTTTTCAAGCAGTACTTCATCCAATTAATCATTTGTCTTTCAATTAAATTTACCATTATTTGTTTTATTTTTCAAGTAATATTTTTTTTAGTTCAAAACATTGATAAATATAATTTCAATTAATTGACTTTCTTCAACAAGAAAAATATTCTTTGTGCCAGGTTTTATAAAATAGTTTTCATAGACATAGAAAATATTGTTTATTTTTCATTCTTTTTTTAATTGGATGAATGAAAACATTTTTACAGTGTACATGTAACGTGTAACAAGGACACCTTAAAATAAAGTGTTACCCAGAATTATAATATAATATTAAAATATAAATTACAATATTTTCATAATAGAAGTGCAACATGTATTTTTTTTAAACCGAACCACAAAATGTATTCATATTGCTGTCAGATTACAGATTTTTTAGTGTTTTATATTTTTACAATTTGTAATTTGTTTCAATAGTTATAATTATATAAGTATAGTTTTTTACTCTATTGGTAAATAGTTATTTTTTATTTCTAATTTTAAGCAATTATTATTATCATTTACAGTGATTGTATAAACAATACTTTTTCCCCCATGACTATTTCTTATTCATAATACAAGTGTATAGTGTATAATATAAATATATATATTTTTTTTTAAATATTGCTGTTAGATTACAGATTTTCCTTCAGTTATTTTTCTGTTTTAATGTTTGTAATGATAATTTTGTATAAGTTTTTATTTATTTATTATTACAATCAATTATTCTTATTAGCATTGCCAGTGAAGTATGAATAATATATGAATAAAAATTATGGTATTTTACCCATGTTCCTTACTTGTAATAGAAGTACAATATGTATTTTTATTTTTTTTTATATTGCTGTCAGATTACAGATTTTCCTTCAATTTCTTTGTTTTAATGTTTGTTTTTTAATGTTTATTTTTAAAATATTTTGTTAAGTAATTTCTATTATTATCATTGTCAGTGCAGTATGAAAACTACTTTTTAATTGTACCCATAATGCAATGTTCTGTCCATGATGTGACGTCATAGTGGATCATTTGTGTACATGTTTATTTTTGATGCATAATTGACGCAATAGGTTAGTATTCACAATTCAAGCATCATTTTATTTTTAATTTGAAAATGTTGATAATTACAAATAGTTCTGTGTGTGTGTGTGTGTGTGTGTGTGTGTGTGTTCACAGCGAACCTCCAGACCAGCGTTCATGAGAATTCATAGAGACACATGAGGTGTGTATGACCATAACTAACCTACACGTATAAAAAAAAACAATGCAAAACAAAACAAAAAAAATCCCAATGCATTTAAAATCAAATAAATAGTGCTGTAACAGATGAGCTCTTGTCTGGTATTGAGTTGTTGCTGATCTGTTAGTCTCACACTATAGTTTCCACATGAGTGTATTTGTTATTTGATGTGTTTGGGAAGGTGGGACTTCCTGTCTGCTGCAAATATCACTTCCTCCTCCCATAGTGTTACACAGACAGGAATAGAAAGCTCTGATATCAGACTCAACTAGCGGCTTCATCACGGTTAAACACTTACAACTAGTACAGTCTGTCTAGTAGCTTGATTTCACAACTTTGCTGTAAAGTACAGTCTCAAGAAAACATGTGGTTATACAATATTTCATCCAAAAAAACATATATATCAAATTCATGAAAATGTCATGGAGATACTGCAGAAATCAATGTCAAAATCAAAGTCAATGATATTATTTATGTTTATATATATATGTTTATTTATTGATTTATTTTTTGCTTTACCATAATGAGAAATTGAGGGTACTATTGCAGGGGAAAGAAGTAAAATTTTAAAACAGGATTCAGTTTCTTTATTAAATATGACATGCACTTGATAATTCCATTTATTTTTATTTATTTTTTGAATATATTTCTTCATATTATATATATTTTCGGTATTTCGGTTTTTATATATTAAATATATATTATATATACTTCAACTTCAACTTATTTATTTTGCTTTAAGTTTTTCATCTAATATTTTTGTTTTATTTATTTCAGCTTTATTTCAGTTCACAAACATTTTTGTTTTAATGATAATAACCCTGCTCTCTGTGTATTACGTTCAATTAATGTAAAATTTGTCCCTCCAGTTTTTTTTTTTTTTTTTTATAATTGTGAAACGTATCAAAATACACTGAATTTTAGATTTGATGCTGCATTACATCATCTAGTAGAGAATGATTATGAAATGGCTTCATTGTAAGTGTGAATATTTACACCCCAATCTAAAACATCTCTCTAAAATCCCCATAATTCCTGCAAGGCAATCGCAGCTTACCAGACGGCAGATGCTGCACTTTTAAAGTTACATAAGACGCCACTGTAGCTGTCATGGGAATCATGTTAGTTGGTTTATTGCTACTGTGAGGAAGCGTTTGACTAGAATGATGGTTCATTTGGGTCTGTACCTGTTAGGATGTTCTTGAAGGCCTCCTCCACGTTAGACGAATCCAGAGCGGACGTCTCGATGAATGACAGGTTATTTTTCTCTGGAAGCAAACAGAAGGTGTTTAATATCCCCTGCTCTTAAAAATATCCACTGACAACATAAACCTTCATGCAGAGCGAAGCTTTTTAACAAAACACGAGCAGAATGAATTTCTGTGCAAATTCAATTGCATGCATCAATTTTACTGCTTTTGAAAGACGTCGATTCTGCTCACCAAGGCTCTGCTTGATCTGTGCAGATTTCTCTCCTGATTCAGACCAGACCACTTTTTCACTGGATAATGGATATTATGGATTATGGACTCGTATTTTAGCTGGAAGCAACGGTTTAAAGTTAAAAACGCCTTGAAGGATTTGTTTCAGCTTTTGTCTTCTCCAGATGTTAACTGCTGGACTGGAGTTGCATTTATTTGATCCAAAATACAGTAAAAACTGTGAAATATTATTACAATTTCAAACAGCTGTTTTCTATGTCAATATCTGTTAAACTGTAATTTATTTCTGTGATCAAAGCTGAATTTTCAGCATCATTACTCCAGTCTTCAGTGTCACATGATCTTCAGAAATCATTCTAATATGCTGATTTGCTGCTCAAGAAACATTTCTGATTATTATCCATGTTGAAAACAGTTCAGTCATTATTTTGGCGGCAGGCTTTGCTCTGAAGGGTTCAGATTCTGAGCTGTCCACAAACAAACCTCCCTGAGGTTTGACTAATGCAATTACCAGAATTTTTAATATGCAATAGATATAAACTTCCATGCAGAAGTTATACAGGTCTATAAATGAGACTGGACAAGATTAAGCAACGATTAGGTGATAGATTATTCCGTGGACAAGACGCTAAGTGATTATGTGCCTGTATAAGGAGGAGCTGGGGATGGAGAAGGGTAAGCGCAGGTCTGTGTGACAGAGTAAGGCAAGTGTGAGTACGGATGAACTTATATATCTTATTTAAATGTAGTGGGAGGAGTTACAATCAGATGAGCGTCAGCTGATGCCTGAACTACGCTTGAACTCCATTCGTCACTCAAACTACAACTCATCTACATCTTGGATGGCCTGAGGATGAGGATGTTTTAGTTTTCATTTTTTGGTTGAACTATTCCTTTAATGGTCTAAAATACTCCACAATAATTCTCCACAGCTTCGCATTAGTGTGAGTACGGATGAACTTATATATCTTATTTAAATGTAGTGGGAGGAGTTACAATCAGATGAGCGTCAGCTGATGCCTGAACTACGCTTGAACTCCATTCGTCACTCAAACTACAGTTGTGCTGCTTCATATTTTTGTGGAAACTGTGATACATTTTATATTTCAGGATTCAAAGATGAATAGAAAGTTCAACAGAACAGCATTTATTTGAAATAGAAATCTTTTGTAACATTATAAATGTCTTTACTGTCACTTTTGATCAATTTAATACGTCCTTGATGAGTAACACTATTAATTTCTTCAATTTTTTCTAACAGTGTTTATCAGAATGGTTTAATGAAGACGTTTCGTCCTGTTTGTGTTTAATCTAATTTAATCGGTGCTGATTAATATAACCAATGTAGTTCAAATTTATTTATTATTCTAAATACAATACTTTAACCTATTTTTATTTGAAAAAAAATAGATTATGAATCATTGTCAGAGGAAATATTTACACCCTTATTAAAGGAATAGTTAGATTTGGAGAAATGTAGCATTGCATCAGTGTCTCAGCAATGGATGCTCTGCAGTGAATGGGTGCCGTCAGAATGAGAGTCCAAACAGCTGATAAAAACATCACAATAATCCACAAGTAATCCACAGCACTCCAGTCCATCAGTTAATGTCTGGAGAAGACAAAAGCTGAAACAAATCCAGCATTAAGACGTTTTTAACTTTAAACCATCGTTCCAGCTAAAATATGAGTCCATAATACATAATAACGCATCCTCCAGTGTAAAAGTCCATCTCCTGTTGTCTCTCACATCAGAATCCAGCCACATATGTGTTTAGAGCTGTTTAAACGCTGCTTGATCTCTGCAGATTTCTCTCCAGATTCACACCAGAACACCTTTTCACTGGAGGAAG